TCATCTGGCAGAGGATCTAACGTGGTCAGTGCACATGAACAATACAGTGAAGAAGGAACAGCAGCGCCTCTTCTTTCTCAGGAGATTGAAAAGATTTGGCATGAGCTGTCGCATCCTCAGGTCCTTCTATCGCTGTGCCATTGAGAGCATCCTCACTGTGCAGAAAGGATTATTGGAGGCGAGCTTCCCTCCCTCCAGGACATCTACAGGAAGCGGTGCCTGAGGAAAGCGGGGAGGATCATCAAGGACTCAAGTCACCCCAGCCATAAACTGTTCAGACTACTTCCATCAGAAAGGAGGTTCTGCAGCATCCGGTCCAGAACCAGCAGACTGAGAGACAGCTTTTTCCATCAGGCCATCAGACTGCTGAACACATCGCAGACACCTCACCCTCACTACTGAAACTCCAACATTACACACTCCATACTGTACATTAATGCCACTGTTTAGCACAAACCAACCTCTGTACATTTTATATCTCTTATCTATTCATGTTTTACAAACGAATAAAACAAGTTTATTCGTTTGTAAAACATGAATATACACACTATACACACACTCACACGCACACACGTAGAAAAAAAATACTACCACACACATTAGTAATGTATATACATTACATACTATACATATTATAGCTTAGATTAGCCATTTTTTTATTTTATATTTTGCTTGTTTTTACGTTACTGTATTTTTTCACAACTCTGTTGCTGTGAAGCTCGCACACAAGAATTTCACTCGCATGTACTGTACCAGTGTACCTGCACATGTGACGTGACAATAAAAGTGATTTGATTTGATGGGCCTGGTTGGAGTCGGGAGAGGCGGCGATAAGGCTGAAGGAGAGATGCTAGATCTAACCTTATTGACTTTGTCCACGAAGAAAGACAGAAAGTTCTCACAGTCTGCAACAGAGTGGATGGAGGCTGTAGGAGAGGCAGGAGAGACGATGCTGCTGATGGTGTTAAACAGCACCTTGGGGTTCCCTTTGCTCTGGGACACCAGGTTGGAAAAATATGAAACCCTAGCGTCTCTGACTGCAGAGTTAAAGGATGACAGAAGACCCTTTAGGTGCAGCAGATGGACGTGGAGATGGGTTTTCTTCCACAAACGCTCAATTTTTCTGCATTGGCGCTTCAGGCTGCGAAGGCTGTCATTAAACCAGGGAGTAGGGTTCACTGTAGGAACTGATCTGGTTCTGACAGGACAGATGTTGTCCAGAATGGAGAGGCAGTGCTCGTTGAACTGAGAAGTTAAGGAATCTGGGTCGTTATCAGAAGAACAGGGTGGATCAAAAGCAGCAGAAAAATTGCTAGCTGTGCTCTCATTAAGAAAACGAGAACTAACCATACGGCGAGCAGGAGGTGGGGACGCAGAAACTGACAAGTTAAAGAAAATGCAATGGTGATCTGAAATATAAACGTCCTCAGGACAAACACTGTCAGCATTTAGACCCAGGGTAAAAACAAGGTCTAGAGTGTGCCCCCTGGTGTGTGTGGGGCCAGAAACATGCTGGGTAAAGCTGAAGGAGTCCATTAGGCTGGAGAAAATCATGGCAAAGAGATCGGAGGGATCATCAACGTGGATGTTAAAGTCACCAACAATCACCAGTCTGGACAGCTTCACAGAGGAGGATAGAAAGTCACTATTTCCTGAAGGAAAGAGCTGTTTGGACCAGGTGGACGATAGACCACAGCACAGTAGAATGGGTCCTTACGCCCGACTTTAATCAGCTGCAGTTCAAAGGAAGCAAAGTGACCAGAGGTTGAAGAGCTACATGGAAGATGGTCTCTGAAAACAACAGCTAGGCCTCCACCACGACCAGAACCCCGGGGCTGGCTAAGAAAAGAATAACCACTCGGGCAGAGTTCAATCAGACCAGAATAATCAGATGTTTGCTGCCAAACTTCAGTCAGAAACAGAAAATCCAGGTTTTTAGAGAGAATTAGATCATTGAGCTGGAAGGACTTGTTGTTAACAGAGCGGGTATTTAATAGAGCCATGCTGAGTGAGGTGGAGGAATCAGAAACTACAGAAACAGCTGGAGTTAGTGGACGTAAATTAGCAGGGTTAGATCCACGGTGTTTATAAAAACCACTTATGGAGGGAACAGGAGGAGAAACCACAGGAATGTGGATAAACCGACCTTAAAAAACCTGGACGGATGAACCGCGTCCCAACGCGGCCTGGCGGGAATGCGGAAGTAGCGCTCAAGTCGCCAAACAAAGGACGAGAAGCTAGAAGATCACGCCGATGTTTACTAGATAAACCACGCTTTAAGATAAGTCTTATTCTCACCGGGATTCCTGCTTGTTTACCTCTTTTCCTCCGACATTTTCCCGGGACCGGATAAACATTGCTGGAGGCATCCTAGTAGGAATCATTTGGCTACGGGCCAGCACGCCGCTCAGGTAAACAAGCAGGAAGGTATGTCCTTGGTGTATCTTGGACGATCGTGAACGAACGGAAGGACAAAAGAGTCTGGCGATCATAGGAGATGGTAGCAGGGACATTACCAAAGAGGATCGCAGACAGAAGCAAGGTGGAAAAGAGGAGGTTAGTGGAGAAAAGTTTGAAAAAGTGGCCGGTGACCGCGGTTAAGCCAAGCACTGGCGCCATCTTGTTACAAACCAGAAGCAAGTGAGATTTTCAGGAGCTTTTCTCTGTTAGAGCTGGAGGTCAGACCACCAGGATCTGCATATGACTGTGGAGGACAAGACGCCTTTAGCGGCTTGTCAAAAAATATTGAGTGCGGCTTTGATCGCAATAAAAATCCATTCATGCCCAAGATAAATGTTTATGTTTATGTATTTAGCAGACGCTTTTGTCCAAAGCGACTTACAAGTGATAATCGGCATTTTGCCCTTGAGGCTAACAACAACAAATTGACATCAGTCATTGATGGAATGGAAGGCCGTGACAGAGCAGAGACTAACCCATACCCTTTTTCTACCACCACTGCGTTATCTTTTGTAAAAAACACAATTACCGCCACAGTCTAATCACTTACAGGTGCTGGCCAGTAAATTAGAATATCATCAAAAGGTTGAAAATATTTCAGTAATTCCATTCAAAACGTGAAACTTGTACATTATATTCATGCAATGCACACAGACCAATGTATTTCCGATGTTCATTACGTTTAAATTTGATATTCATAAGTGACAACTAATGAAAACTCCAAATTTGGTATCTCAAAAAATTAGAATATTCTGAAAAGGCTGAATATAGAAGACACCTGCTGCCACTCTAATCAGCTGATTTACTCAAAACACCTGCAAAGGCCTTTAAAAGGTCCCTCAGTCTTGTTTTGAAGGCACCACAATCATGGGGAAGACTTCTGACTTAACAGCTGTCCAAAAGACAATCATTGACACCTTGCACAAGGAGGGCAAGACACAAAAGGTGATTGCTAAAGAAGCTGGCTGTTCGCAGAGCTCTGTGTCCAAGCACATTAACAGACAGGCGAAGGGACGGAAAAAATGTGGTAGAAAAAAGTGTACAAGCTCTAGGGATAACCGCACCCTGCAGAGAATTGTGACGACAAACCCATTCAAAAATGTGGGGGAGATCCACAAAGAGTGGACTGCAGCTGGAGTCAGCGCTTCAAGAACCACCACGAGGAGACTCATGAAAGACATGGGATTCAGGTGTCGCATTCCGTGTGTCAAGCCACTCTTGAACATGAAACAGCGCAAGAAGCGTCTCGCCTGGGCCAAGGACAAAAAGGACTGGACTGATGCTGAGTGGTCCAAAGTTATGTTTTCTGATGAAAGCAAGTTCTGCATTTCCTTTGGAAATCAAGGACCCAGAGTCTGGAGGAAGAGCGGAGAAGCACAGAATCCACGTTGCATGAGGTCCAGTGTAAAGTTTCCACCGTCAGTGATGGTGTGGGGTGCCATGTCATCTGCCGGTGTTGGCCCACTCTGTTTCCTGAGGTCCAGGGTCAATGCAGCCGTCTACCAGGAGGTTTTAGAGCACTTCATGCTTCCTGCTGCTGACCAACTTTATGGGGATGCAGACTTCACCTTTCAACAGGACTTGGCACCTGCACACAGTGCCAAAACCACCAGCACCTGGTTCAAGGACCATGGTATCCCTGTCCTTGATTGGCCAGCAAACTCGCCTGACCTTAACCCCATAGAAAATCTATGGGGTATTGTGAAGCGGAGGATGCAATACGCTAGACCCAACAATGCAGAGGAGCTGAAGACGACTATCAGAGCAACCTGGGCTCTCATAACACCTGAGCAGTGCCACAGACTGATCGAGTCCATGCCACGCCGCATTACTGCAGTTATTGAGGCAAAAGGAGCCCCGACTAAGTATTGAGTGCTATACATGCACATTCTTTTCATGTTCATTCTTTTCAGTTGGCCAACATTAGAGAAACAAACATTTTTTCATTGGCCTTTAGAATATTCTAATTTTCTGAGATACCATATTTGATGTTTTCATTGGTTGTCACCTATAAATATCAAAATTAAACGTAATAAACATCGGAAATACATTGGTCTGTGTGCATTGCATGAATATAATGTACAAGTTTCACGTTTTGAATGGAATTACTGAAATATTTTCAACCTTTTGATGATATTCTAATTTACTGGCCAGCACCTGTATAAACGGCCCAAGGATCGGTGATGCCAGCTCCGAGTTGCGGCAAATGGGTGGCATTGTTTTTTATAAACGAGGCTAATATGGCTCACATTCTTTTTGGCGCATTACCGTTTACTGGGTCAGAGTGTTTGTAGACAAACTAATGTCTGCTAGAAAGAAACAAAGCTCCCATTGCCCTGGAGTCGGGGCACTTTTACCAGTATTTAAACATGGCATCTGTCCAGTGCTGGTATCAGCATTGGTGCATCCTAACTAATTATAATAAATATTTCTGCTGGAATATTGCACAAACCATAATTTTATTTCCTGAGGTAGAATATCATAATGATCCAATAAGGTGAAAAACTAAACCACAGAAACTAAAACCATTGGCCTCAGACCTGGAGGAGAGCGGTCCATGTGGGGTCCTGAAGCAGGGAACTCCCCGAGGCCTTCGTTTCCTGAAGGCCTGCTCGATCAGCTTGGCTTCTGAAGACGGGTCTATCCTCCAGAACGAACCTTTACCAGGTTCTTCCTGCGACCTCGCCACTTTGATGAAATAACGGTTCAGAGAGAGGTTGTGACGGATCGAGTTCTGCAAAGAAGGAAAACACAAGTGGAACACGCTGCAGCTCACATTTAGAGAAGGACCTGGACCCAGAACCAACCTGCCAGCCCTTGTCTGCGGTCCTGTAGTACGGGTAGTTCTTCGTTATATGATTGTAGATTCCATTTAGTGTGAGCTGCTTGTCCTGGGCCAACGTGATGGCCTGGACAATCAGCTGTGCATAGGAGTACGGAGGCTTGGAGTCATCCTGCAAACGTTTAACAGATTTAAATGTAAACAACCTTTTCATTTTTGATGCTGACTGGTGTTAACATGTTAAATGATCATGAAAATGAAGTTTAAATGATTCAGCAAGCTAAACAGTTTAGTAGTTTTAAAGTTAATTTGATTTCGCCACTTGATGTTTTATGATTCACTCTAGGGCCCTGGTCCAAACTTTAAAGCTACCAGTGAGTTTTGTTTGTTTGTTTCACATCTAGTCTTGATTTCAACCTAAACAAGACCATTTTGTTATAATTAGCGTGAAAAGTTTTAAGGTTTCAGAGCAAAAAAAATAATAATTTCAAAGAAAGTAATTATAACAGCCCTAATATCATTCAGTGATTAAACGTTTCAGGTATTTGAGTGAGTCTCTAGGATGAAAGGACTCCATTTTCTTCAGGAGACTTTATTCTCTTACTTTTTGTCTTGCGATCATTTAAGTATACGTAGTAAATGTAATAAGGACAACGAAGTGAGATCTGATCAGCACCCGTGTTTATACAGAACAAACCGAAGCCCACACCGATGGGATGCGTGAGCAGCGCTCACCTTGGGACTGTCCCCTCCAGAGGCCTCTTTGTCGTTCTCAGGCTGGGAGTTGTCGTTTATGAGCTGCAGCTCTGCAGAGCTGACCATACGACCTCCCATCCTGTAGCCTGAAGATCCAGCACCCCGCGGGCTGGAGGGGCAGGAATTAGCAGCGCTGCACAAAAATAAATGAGTGAAGATTAAATCAACCGAAATCCCTCTATGGATGATTAAACCAAAACAGGACTAAAGTCTGGATTCTGTTTTGACTCTTAAGCCTGATGCATGCTTCTCCATCAGCTCCAACAGGGACAGACACGCACGCACGGACGGAGACATTTTGCCTTCATACTTCTCCGTCTCCTGGAGAGTGTTGCAAAGCAATTCTCCGCCAGGACAACAGAGGACGTAGCGCTGTTCTGTGGTATCCTGTAATGTATCGGGTCCAAGATTGTGTGTTTATATTGTGTTTTTTGTATATAAGAGACTTTTTAACAAAGACAAATTTGTCTTTCATCCTCCTCCACCTCTTCATGCGCTCGCCACCTCTAAACTAGGGTTGTCACGATACTAAAATTTCAAACTCGATTCGATACTGGAAAAAAACTCGATACTCGATTTCGATACTATTTAACAACACCAATTTATTGAACAAGTTTATTCAAAAAATAATATTCCTCAATTTATATTGCAAAAATTAAATGTTAAGAATTAAGTGTATAAAGTGCTTAAACCTTTCAAGTATCAGCATTTTTTAAAAACGTGCATATAAAAACTGGCGAAAGTTAACACTTTAAATCATGAATTGTCTCACTATATATACACTATTTGCAGAGTGATGTTTTGCTGCTTAAACTCTGTTTAAGGTGCATTTTTGTCATAAGATGTAATGCCATATGTTTTGTTCTGTACTTTTGAACAACTCTGTTGGTCAATAAAGGGAGAAAACGAACTTCTCCACAGTAGGACAAAGGTACATCTAATCTTAGTAAAAACAGATTGGCGCACGGCAGTGACGTCATTAAAAGCGCCGGTTAGATTAGCCGCGGCTAGTCTGTTCACGCCTAGAAATCCCAGACTCGCTCCAAACGAACAGGGGAATCACGTTAATGATTCCTAACAAAACCTTTCGACATGAAGATGTTTTGGTGCAGATAATGTCTTATTTCGAGGCTGCACCATGGGAGCCCGTCCGCACCTGTTATATGGATATACACTGATGGCGATTCGCCAATGGATCTAAATACCCCGGGGAATCCAAGTAGCACCAAAGTTGTCAGCGTGACTAAACAAACGTACTGCATGCTACAAATTAAGTCCGGGTTGCAATAAACGGGAGTTTCCTTTAAGCACATAAGCGTGAATATACAACTACGTGTCGGACTTGGTATGCTAATTAAGTTGGGCTGTGAAGCGCCTCCCAAATTCGCTGTTTATGTTTTTGTTTATTTATTTGGCAGACAAAACTTGGATCAGAGACAACTCGCGTGGGAAATTGCAATGTAGCCATGCGGCGTCTTCTTCTTCTGTTTGTCTGGGAGGCGGAGGCTGCTTTACGGCTTCTGGCTGTCGTGCGTGTCGGTGTACTTGAAGAAGGCTGTGTATAATAGTCCATGATATCAATACCACAGGGATGGAATATCTAATTTAGATACCACTTTTAGTATCAATTTTTTTGACAACACTAGTCTAAACCCACGTTTTCTGTCATTTACGTCCACAAATAAAACACCTGCTGCACATCTTTTCACTCCTCCAGTCACGGGGAATTAAACGTTCATATTTTTAGAGGTTTTCGCGAGGTGTTCTTCAAGCTGCTCCGTGTCTGCCGCTAGTTATCCTCGGCTCTGTTTTTGAGGGCGCAATGGCGGCACTGTAGACGACAGCGGTGCCCTGAACCAATCACAAGCTTGCGTTCTCCGTCTCAATGGACGGATGTTTAGAAAAGAGAGCTCGACTCCGTACGTCCTTGTGGAGCTCTCCAGCAGGCCCACAAGGACGGATAATGGCGTTGCGTGTCTCCGCACTGACGCAGACGGAGAAGCATGACTCAGGCTTTAAACAGAGATGTTTAATGTTTCAGCTTGAATAGGACATTTGCTTCAATGAAAGCTTCCTTCCAAAATTTAAGACATCAAAATTCTTACATATTGCTCCTTTAAATAAATAACTTGTATAAATGATGAGAGCAGCAAAAGAACAGATTTAGGCGAGGCTACCTGATGGTGCCGGTGGGCGACGGCAGGGGGCTCATTAGGTGAGCAATGTTGTCTGGAATGTTGATGGTTAGAGGGGAGATCTGGGGCTGAACTGGTTTCACTGGAGACTCTGGCGCCTCACGCTTCACTTTCTTCCCACTGGACAGGGCCGTGAAGGATATCTTAATATTGGTGCTGGGAAACCTGAAGGTGCACCTGCAGAAAGCAGACGAGAAAACAGAAACCACCACTGTGACAAAGATCTGGCTGATTCTCGGTGTAGCCTCATTAAGGTAACTGCTCGACGAGACGCTGATGTCTCCGTTTTAGGATGAAGTGATGCTCTCAGAGGAAAACAGATAAACGATGTTAAGTGGTACATTTAAAGGCAGGTTCTAGGGGATGTTTAAAAGTCCCACTGTGTCAGTGATCACAAAAAACTTAGACGAAGAGAAACACATAACTTTAGTTAGTAGAGATAATCAGGTAACCAGAGATGTCCAAATCAAGATGTTTTGTCCCTAATAAAAATGTCCACATCTGGATTGGTCCGGGTTTTGTAGTGCCAGTCTGGCCCCTGCTTGGCCAGGTTTCATTCACACAGCCTGCTCAGCAACACAGATGTCTCAGAGCATGTGGACAGGACAGAAGATGTGTGGAAAAGTCAGTGGTGTCCTACCTAAATTATTAAACAAAAGTGGCCATGAGCACTGTTGCTTCTGGAGACTCTGATATGAAGCACATGGCTTCCTACTCTCTCACTGAGAAGGCGCTGTGCTCCTCACAGCAGTCTGTTCTTGACCTGCTGTGACTGGAGCGCAAGGTCCGAGCTGCAGTCAGAAAAGATCAGCGTTTCCCCTACATAGGCTCAGTCGCTGCACCACAGCTACGAAATAAACCCCCACCCCACGGCCAACGCACAGCACCAAAACGTCCCGTCCCACGCTATCACCCTCTCATGGCAGTGGAACAGAACACGAGTAGGGCTACGCCCTCAATAGGTAGGCGTGAACTTTAAAAGTCGTGAGTGGCTGTGTTGGGTCGGCTTTGAATTAAGCGGACCGCTGGAGAACAGGTCCAAATAAACAGTCAGCTGAGCACAGGAAACACACAGGTTACCCAGTTGTGAACACAATATACCTACCAACCCTGGGCCAGGCCGACCCAGATGAGCAAAAATCCGGAAGAATCAAAATCAAAAACAAACCTCACATCTAGGGCTGGTAGGGCTGGGGGGTAAACGATTATTTTCAAAACGATTATTCTGACGATTATTTTATTGAATAGTCGACTATTCTAATGACTATTTAGACAATTAATCTAGTGTTTATTTTTCTATTGCACAGTTAATAAAAACAAAAAATATATAATTCCTAAAAAAATTGATAAATTCTTACTGTAAGAGAATAAAGACTACAGGCCTTCCATTTTGTATAACACTGCTTTTATTGTGTTGGTTGGTTATGTTCTGGTGACGTGTAGAACTTGGGAGTGCAGGCTGCTGCCTGAGAGGTGGTTGGAGACGGAGTGTCTCCATGCTGCTTTGTTTTGGTCACTTATGTGCGTGAGGCGAGTGGTGTTACGACCCTTCCTGGGGAGTTTGGCTTGTGTGTAAAAAGGAAGGGACAATAACGGGATTTAAAAGTTAAAATGATGATCAGGTTTATTTACAACTACAACAAAACATAAATCTTCCCATCCACAGGTTGGGAATAATAAAACTAATTCTGCCTGTGGGGAATTAAAACAAAAGTACAAATAACTAGGGATGTCCCACTGGGCAAAGATCACTGGGTTCTGGACCAAAATAAGAATCTCCAAAGGTCCAAACTCTAAACTGGGCGGTTAAACCAAACTCAAGGTGATATTTTAAACTAAACCGAAACCCACAACACTCTAAATGTAATAAAAGAGAGATCTACACCACAAAAAAGATTAACTCTAAACCAAAACGTAACAGCTTATCCAAACGCAAGAAGCTGTTAGCGAAGATGCTAACAGCAGCTTTACCAACGTTAAGTTCAAGTTACCAGGTTTAAATAAACCAAAAACACCCAGCAGCAAACAGACCAGCACGGAGGAGAGACTACTACCACCAAAACAGCTCTCCTCATGTCTGAAAGAAGCTCCTTAATGAAGGGAGAAACGCTCCCGGTGATTTTCTACATCTGCAGTAGAGACGAAGCAGCGCATCTGACCCCGGAAGTTGTTGTCCGTTGCCGGGAGACGAAGGCGGGCAAAACAGGAAAGGAATCTAGTAGTGGACGGACGTTGTTCTGGGTCTTCGGTATTTGGTGGAGATGTTAGTGAAGGCGGAGAAGAGGGCGAACTAGAGGAAAAACAGGCAGATTCCTCCTCTACTTACAAACTCCTGGGGATGCAACAAGTGGGCGTGGTGCGTCGACTACCGGATCTGACGTCTACAAATTTTTAGAATCGAGCCGCCGACGTCATCGAGGCTTCGCTACAGCCCTACTCACATCGACAGATCACCATTGAATTGACCGTGCTGAAATGTGGTCTGCGTGACACTCAGAATTAAGGGGAAGGATCGGCAGGTTAAACCACCAAATAATTCCTGAGCGCAGCCACAGCTGCAGCTTACCACTCCCCATGGGGTTGGGTCAAATGCGGAGACAAATTTCACCAGTGTTTAATAACTAAAGGGACTTTGACTTTGTCGCACCACTAAAACAAAAAGATTGGGAAAAGATCTGACTGTAAAACGTGCCCTACAAGCTCATGGACATGCAACTACATTAGCAAAAACATCAGGCTCCCACATCCCCCTCCTTGATAATTTTGCAATGACAGTCCGTCATCAGTTTGAAAAATTTAATCTCAGAGGGGTAAAAGAGGAAACGTTGATGCAACTGTGCAACATTCAGGCAGGATTAGGAACCCCGAGATACAGAGCCGGCTCACAGGCTAATTGGTTTTCAGTCGGCTTCAAACTGCCAATACTAGCAGAAAGCCGGCATCTGCTCACAGCACAGTATCCCCAACATCGTCATGTGAAATGAGCTCCGCTGCTCACAGGAGGAGACAGAAACACTTCCTGTTGAGGGGAGACACTTTCATTCTGCATGTTCTGATTCAGGATGGGCTAGGTTGCTTTTGCAGAGCCGATAAATCGCAGAAGCTCCATAAAAAGCATCAGAAACATTTGAAACATCTGACAGCAAAAGGACGAGGAAATCTAAATATATCATCAAGATGTCAAAGCAGCTTCTGTCAACCTGCTGTCGTCTCCAACACACACACACACACACACACACACACACACACACACACACACACACACACACACACACACACACACACACACACACACACACACACACACACACACACACACACACACACGGCTACGTTTAAATATAGATGTCACAGATAACGTAATCAGGACTGACTTAAATATTTAATAATAAATGAAGACAACTGCAACGCCTTGAGACTCACAAAAGAAGTACCCTGAAACATTCAGAAACATTTTGCAAACCTCTCAATAAGAAGATGTTCTTCTGTGCCCTTTTATTTTTCTTTGATTAAACCAATAAAAAACAAAAAGGTAACAATTACACTAAAAAGTAATTTAATTGTAATAAATGTAAAAAAAAAAACACACGTTATCGGAATCAGCCAGTTTTCTGTATTATCGGACCAATCACTTTGATTTGGATGTTGGGTCTGTGAACGCACCACCACCAAGCAACAATCGGTGTGTTTAGTTGAGCAAGTAAAGCTGTGCAACTTCTGGCCTGCTTTGAGCTGATTTTCCTCTGGTGTGGGTGTCTTTGAGGTCTGGGCGAGTTGGAGTGCTGTAGTATACGGGGGGTAAAAAGAAGTGATCAACACCTCACGACCATCTCCAGATCAGAAACCATGTGGTCGTACAAATATCAAACATCTTTGACATTCTGCTCATACCTCATGAGGGTATTGCACTGCAGAAGCAGCGCCGTGACCCAAATGTACCAGAACTGCTCACGCAGCGCAAACGCCAACATGGCTGCCCTGGTATTTCCTCCATGTCTCATTTTATTTACACTTTTCTCTACACACAACGGCAAGGATTGTCAAGAAAGCATGTTTGCTGTGTTAATGTCAACTAAAAATGTATATATTTATATCAAATATATATATATGTATATCAACTAGTAATGCACGGTAAAAACGGTATAAGATAAAACCGGTATGACTTTGGCCTATGACATAGAATTTTTACAGCCAGCTAACCAGTTGCACTTGCTGAGGAGCTTCAATCATAGCTAAAACACGACAATAAAGCTGAACGTACACTCCTGCCGCCTTTGCATGAATGTTGTTAATCTGCGTCAGCTCTGGATGAAAAGCAGCAGCAGCTGCAGAGCAGAGCGTGCAGAAGAAGACGTGCTTGTAAAGAGCATGAGGTTACGTCTGATGCATGGACCTGGTTTGGAGTCAGGTGGTGAGCAGAAAAGCATCCTCTGTAAAATATGCCAGGTGAGATTAAGACATATCAGCGCTGACAGCTTGTTAACGCCAAACCCCTAAATGCCGTTTGTTTTTAACACAATGAACGCACAAGGCTTTCAAGCTTTGTGGACGTGTCCTTTCCCTCCACAGACCTTCCCAGTTTCAGCTGACAACATGACTCGTGAGCTTTGCTCTGTGAGGAAATCGCAGTTTGAGACCCTGTCCACACGTAGCCGGGGATCTGCCAAAACGTAGATATTTTTCTACGTTTTGGCCTGTCATCCACACGAAAACTGAGTTTTTTCACACGAAAACTGATCTTTTTAAAAACTCCGGCCAAAGTGAAGATCTGCGTTTTCTCCGTTTTGGGTATCTGCGTGTGGACGGACAAAACCGGAGTTTTAAGGTCCGCAACGTCACTTTCCGCGACAAAAAATGCTGACATCACGTGTGCGACCTGTGTTTACACTAGCCGACAGCATGGATGCCCTCAGAGCTGCGCTCGCTTTATCAATCGTCCAAGCGCTTTTTGCTTGTTTGTTTTTGCAAGCGGAATTACTGCTCCTTGCGGAAGACCACAGACGAAGGACGAGGTTAAGAACGGGGGAAGTACTGCCGCCTACAGGTCTGGCATGTCCTTAACAACGTATTTATCCGGGTACGTGTTGACAGAGTTTTTTTTTAAACGAGGTGGTGTGGATGCAAGTTTTTGGAGGGGCGGATATTCGTTTTAAAAAAACGGCTACGTGTGGACTAGGCCTGAGATGGAAGTTGAATGCTACGAGTGAAAAACTTGCACAGCAAACGCTCGGCTTAAGTCGAGCTTGCCAATAATCAAGGTAAAACTGGGGGGGGGTCTTTATCCGAGTATACATGTCCATTAGAAAACCCAATTATTAAATAAGCATTCTACTCCGTTACAGACGGCAGCAGCATGCGTCCTTTTGTGTCTGCATTCTTCTGTTTAGCCAATAGCGACACAAAGAGGCCTTTTCCAAACTCAGCCTATAACAGTTCAGTACAACGTGGGTAAACTCAGCTCACTTCAGAGTAAAAGTGGACACGGCCCGGAGTAGGGCTGCAACTAACGATTATTTTCATAATCGATTAATCTGTCGATTATTTTTTCGATTAATCGATTAATCGGTTTGTTATTGTTTAGCTATTTAACCTATACAAGTGATGGATGCATTTCAGTTAAGAACAAAAAAACATAAGAGAATTGTGCAGTTGACTGCAATCTATTTTATTGCACATGAACACAGTCAGCAGTATAAAATGAGCTAAACAGTGCAAAATATCAGTCCAGAATAATTTTTAGCATTAGCTGGAAGCCTGCTCCTTCCACCATGGATAGTGGCCTCATGTCTTTTACCAGCATGTTTAGAATAGAGTTTGTAAGTGGTATGAATTGCTGGGGGGTGAGTGTCTACTTCCCCATGTAGTTGTCCATCGTTGCTTGTTTTTTTCTGCATAAGAAACACAAATAGACTGAAATAAGTACACATATAAAATAAAGCAGCACACACACTACAACACTAAATCAATATTATATTATTTGAATTAATTAACAATATACAGTGATCATTTATTTTGAGGGTTACGTTCTACAAAATAGCCCGCAACAGGAGATATTCAGAAAAAAAGTAAAACATTTTTACTATTAAAAAGCTCTAAGTAAGAAGCTCATGAGGTTTTTACTTTGAGTCGGGAGTGTTTAAATTAGCCAGAGAAATGTGAAAAATGTTTATTTTGTGTAATACTGTTTAAGAAACATGATAAAAATGTGTTGTGAGGCGTTTTACAGCGTTAGATAGTAAAACAGCCTTTTAATAGTAAAAAAAAATGACTTTTTCTGAATTTCTCCTGTATTTAAAAATTGAAAGTGTACAACTATGCCGCGTTATATTCACCTGGACACAGCTTGTCTGTATATTTTTCTCCGCGGAGTTGTCCTTTTTTGAATGAGGAACATAGTTATGGGTTTGTGCCGTTTTTCTCTTAACGAGAACATTCTTATAAACAGACGTGCTAAATTTGGCAAGCGCATGATTCACAACACGGAGGAGATTCACGATTGCATCTAGTCAATCAGAAGTAGAACACCGCAGACTGACGCGGCAAAAAAACATGTTTAACATCCACTATAACGAACTCAGCTAAAACACTAAGTCCAGCTTGTTTATTTTCTGTTACTTACCGGGCTGGCTCTTCCAAATGACGGCTCACTTGACCGCGGTGCTCTTCCTCTGCTGCATCAGCCCCCACATGCGTTCGTCTCAAATGTGCTCCCATACTCGTGAGGTTTTTGTCCGGGGTTTCTCTTCAGTTTTGTCGCTTCTATTTTTCTTCCGTATTTCCTCTTGTTCCGCCATTTTCTCACAGCAAGATGAGCGTCAGTAACGTGATACGTCATGAAAACCGAGGGCACCCATTGGCTCATTTCTTCTTCTACGGCTCCACTGGTAGATCAGTGGCTCATTACTGCCACACACTGGCGGCAAATTTAACAGCTTGTAACCGATGTCAGATTGTGGTAAAAAATAGACTTTATGCGGTAAAATATGATTATTAAACAACTAATCGATGACTAAAAAAGTTGTTAACTATTTTAATAATCGATTATAATCGATTAAATCGATTAGTTGTTTCAGCTCTAGCGGAGGGAGAGGGGGTCTTTACTCGAGACAAAAACAGCATGAGGTGATCAGTAAACAGTGTGAGGTGATCCGTATGCTACACAGAAACACAACTTGGCACAAAAACTGTGGTGTTGTTGAACATCCTGCTCAGTTTTATGTCTTCTCGTCAGACTGAAATAGAAAGCTCTGTAGCAACCAGTGATGCGGCCTCCTAATCAATTAGAGACCGCCAGTTGAGATACCGGCCTGGGTCAGCCCTCGGAACCACAACGGAGCAGGGACTGAGAAGTAGAGGAAAATACTGAACCGCCCCCTCCCGAGTCATGCAGTGGAAAAGCCCTAAAACACTGGCAGGACTGAAGCGGTCACTGTTTATTTGGCATCTCTGGAACTGTTTGATGGTGTTACAGGGGTAATATGTGGCGATGATAATATTAGAAGACCGCTTCAGTGACTTCATCAATCCCAGAAGGAGGATTTCCCGGACGGTCATAACTCAGCTGAGCTTTTTACATGCAGAGGAACCGAGTTTCTATATATGTTATCTGGATACCTTAGCCTGAGTAGAAGTAGTCCAGTTCAGTTTGACTTTAGTCAGACAGACGTGTTTACATGCACTCTGAAAGTCCAACTTCAGTTAAACTAAGCCAACAACTCTGTTTTCTGACTCTGCACCTGAATGCATTGAATGAATAACCTGACATGTTCCAATGCTTGTGAATTCACCATTACCACGAGCCAATTGTCACCATCTACACCAGACCTTCCACGTGGAAGTCTCAACTTCTGGAAACATGATCTCAACTTAATCAAAAATGAAAACCAAACAGAGTTGAAACAAAGAGTCATCACGTAATACTTGCGTTTTATTTAATTTGCAAATCTTGGCACCTCTATAGGAAGAACAATCAGGTTGGTGTCATTAATCACACACAGATTACAGAAGCCTCTTAATAACCTCGACTTTTTTTTTTCTTTTGCAAGAATAATGAGGCACATACTTCAAAAACAGTCCCTCTGCTGCTAAGCTGAGAAAACTGCAACAAACAAAGCTTGTTAGACTGAAAGCCCCCCCCCCCCCCCCCCACACACACACACACACACACACTACTAAGAATGTAAACAAAAGAAGGCAGACTGATATGAACAGAGGGAGAGGATGGGAGTATGAGGGAGAAAGGGGATGGGAAGGTTGTTGCGCTCTGCTGGATTGGTTTACGTCACCAAAAAGGAATCCCAGGAATACAACCGACCTATACCCTGAAACACGACTCCCAGAGTTTTCTCATCTCCTCACAGAGAGTTTAGGGGTCTTCTCTAGTCTAAGCTCTCTAGTACAAGCACATGTAATAAAATATGATTAAATGCCTCCTTACTAGCAGTCCATCAGATCAATATCAGAATCTGAAACCGCTATCGCTCCACCCTAGTGCCTCTCTGTTTGTATTTACAAACCTAAAGAGCGAGCAGTACAGAAAACAAATCAACCCTGTGATGAACTTGCAGTTGTAGAAGAGTAGCTGTGTGCACAAGGTCGGTTAGGAAACAGCATCAAGTCAAAACAAGTCAACTTACTTTCTGTGCGGGTGAAAAAATTGGTTTTGTGTGTGTTGAATGATTGCACAATACCAACAAGCAGTGTGCAAAGTCTGAGCTGCACTGGCAGAAGCTGGCAGCTTTGTTTACATTGCAGAGCACTTCTGTGGACAGACTGCAACAGCTTTTTGGCGTACCAACAACCAAAACAAATGCGTCCTAACATGCCTTACCCTAACCAGTAGGCAGAGTTGAAAAAACAAGCAAGACATCCTCACCATGGTCACGTTGTCTCTGGTTCAGAGGTCTATCATACCATCTATGATACCGCTGCTGCCGTGATCTCAAAATTAACCAGTAACTGATCCCTGCCATGTTTGTTTGTTGGTACCCCACAAACCCAGCTGTCTACTCGGTCTGAGTTCTCTACTCTGCCCCCTAGAGGAACCCTCCACTACTACCTGCAGTGCAGCAGCAAGTATGTAGCCTGTGCCAATGCCAGGTTAAAAAGCAGTGCTGCCACGATTAGTCGATTCGTCACGATGACGTCGACAATGAACTTAATAGTTGGCATCATTCATTATATGATTTTTTTTTTAAATCTTGCCTGCTGCAGCACCACTACTGCTTTTTGCTCAAGGCATAGCGCAGTAGTGACCATCTGGATCAGCCGCTGCTTTCTGTTCGAGGCACATGCGCAGTAGCGGCCATCCAGGTGAGCCGTCGCATCACTGGAAAAAACGAGATATGGTGAGCCGGCAACGTAGCCAAAAAGTTTGGGAGCATTTTACAAAGATAAAAGAGAAGCACGTCCAGCGCAAAACCTGCAAAGTAGAACTCTATTTTCATGGAAGTACAATGGTGATGCAGGAACACCATAAAAGGATGCACAACGTCCCGGACAACAAAGCGGGGCAGTTGCCTCTCTAAGCTAATTACCTCCCGTTAGCTGCTAACATCAACAGGGAGTTACTTTTATTTATAGCTGTAGTAACAACAGCAGTGACGGCGATTTCATTACCATTACCAGATATTCTGTTACAAACGCTAATGCTTTATTTTATCCTATTATGTTACAGTGTACAAAACAGCGCTCCTCTTCAATGGACGAGTTTGTTACAAAGCCAACATGCACACCTTGGCAAGCAAAGACGGATATGAGCCCGCTCATGTTTCATAATCTCCCATCGTGTCTTTATAGTTAGATAGTAAATAACTGATCATACTTCAAACTAGAAGCTAATGGTGTGTATATTAGAGCAGCTGCATCCTGGTGTATAAGCAATAGGGTTGTTACGGTAACCGGTGTAGCGGTAAACCCCGGTAAAAAAGTTGACAATAATAATAACCATCTTGTTTTAAAAAAAAAACTATATTATCTCGGTGGGTTACCGTGGCTGCGGTGTAGGCGCGGTGACCCTTACCAGCCACCGTATCATCTGCTGAAGTTGCCGGCAGCACATGCGCACTTTGTTGTTTACAACCAAAACTTTCTTGAAGCTAAAGCTGAAGGAGGAGACGGCAGCATTCAGGACATTTATTATCCCTCAAAGAAGACAAAGTGGGAAGTACGGGCATTTTTGGGATATCTGAAGAATGCCGAGGGACAGCTGATAGAAGACGGCTATCCTGTTTGCAGCACGTGCAGAAAAAGTGTCTGTGAAAGGCAGCAACGCTTCAAATCTCATGACACATCTGCGTGACCATCACCCACAACTCTACAGTCAATGCAAGGCAAGCTAACGTTAGCATTTTAGCTAAAATGCGTGATCCGAGGATTTGGGTTGAGGGAGAACGCAACGAGTGGCTATATAAAGCAGCCGCAGCGCCGCTACCTGCATATAAACCGTGTCACGGACACCGCCATGTTGAAATGACGCTATGCATTACGGGGCTCCCAGGGGCAGATAAGAGTTGGTCTCTCTCAGAGAATAATTATGAATTTAACAATGATTACTGCCTGATGACATTTTCCCACATCTGCAAAGCTCACTGGAAGGACACAAACCGAGGACAATATTTTCCTGATATAGGGTTTATTACTCAAGTAAGGGTAAAAAAGTATCTGATTAGAAGGCTACTTGAGTACTGAGTATCATCTGGTCTAATATTTTTAAAATGATGACATCAAACAGACAAAAAATAAGAAGTTATGGGCAAATATTGGTATTTTAAAGACTAAAGGGGAAATATGTAAACAAATAAACAACATAATTACAAAATAACACATTTTAGGCTAAATTTAGACACAAACCAAGGACAATATTTTCCTGACATACAGGGTTTATTTACTTGTCTGCAATGTAACGCGTTTAAAAAAAAACGCGATAATACTGAAAACCGTGGTAATTGTGGTCACAATAACCGTGAGGTAGGGCTGCTCAATTAATCGAATTTTAATCACGATTACGATCTGAGTTTTGAATGATTATAAAAAACAAAACAAGCCGATTATTTTCTCCTCCCGCTTGCGCTGCCCTGAGTTGCAAATGAAGCGCTCCTCCCACAGTGTTGCCAACTTAGTGACTGTGACGCTATTTCTAGCAGCTTTTCAGACCCCCTTCTTGACTTTTTAACTTAAAAGTACCTAGCGAACACCTGAGAAACATCTCTGGTAACCCTTAGCTACTTTCTGGATAACTGTCGTCGACGTTTCCTGCAGGTTAGCTAAACACTCCGCCTGCACTCCGGACCGTTCTTCAGGACATTAGGAAAGGAAATGATGTAGTGATGCGTCAGTCGCTAAAGAAACAGCTCTCGGAGCCGGCTCCTTGTTGGAGTAACCAGAGTGAGTGACACACACCGCACCTGCGGACTCCTGAGCCACTAAAAATGGCTAAATGTGCGCGTGCGGCGCGCTGAACATACGTGCAGCTTGCCCCGATTGCTGTGAGACCGGGTTGGGGGGTGCAGCTGTGGTTGGGACAATTATTAGATTAACTGATGGACCTGTAAATAAATAGTTTATAAATAAGGTAGAAATAAGTTCCTCACGCTGATAACTAATAACTAATCTCTCTGAGGACACAGTGTTAGTGCACTCTCCTACAGCACCTTGACACGACTAAATACGTATTTTGCAACATTTTGTGAACATCAATTTATTTGCATGTATTTGTTATAAATGCCACTGTATAATTCTTGCTGTCAGTGTTTGCAAGATATTGCTATTTGGGTCTGTACTAGTTAGACTTAAATGAGTTAAACCAAACCCTTGGGTCATAAACTATGAGCTATAAATAAATTGATGTTTTTATACTGGGAATCAGGAGTTATTTTAGTGATCATCTTGTTTCTTATTTTTGTCCTGATTGTGCCCTGAGCAATTTTATGACTGAATAAAAACAAATAAAATCAACATAAATTGAAAAATCGTCCTAAATAATCGTGATCTCAATTTCAGTCACAATAGTCGTGATTATTATTTTTGCCATAATCGAGCAGCCCTACCGTGAGGTTAAATTTTCACACCGTGAAAACCCTAATAAGCAATAGGCTATATTATAAGTGTAAGCTATATATATATATATATATATATATATATATATACACACACACACACATACACGCTACACTTTATCAATACTTTTAAAAAGCTATACTTTATGCATGACACGATTAGTCGACTAATCGCCAAAAAGACTGGTGATTAGTCGACTACTGAAACGATCGTTTGTGGCAGCCCTAGTGTATTCCAGGCCTCAGGGCTGTCCAATGTGACAGTTTGATTCTGCTCCATAAACACTGAATATTTGTTGATTCTTTAAAATTAAAAACAAAAGCATTAAAATCCAATTTCATGCAGCCACATTTTCAAATGTTTTCTCTAAAACATTGTTTATTCAAACACATTGTAATTCTGGTCAGTATCACACCAATTTTTTTAAGTTTTTTTTTTTCAAATGAGCTTGTGAAAAAAAACAGAGCATATCATGAAGCACCTACAACACGATGGTTGACTTCAGCATGGGAAGAATCTCAATGTTTCACATGTGATCATGACAATTCATGAAATAGCACTAAGTTACTGGAGAACCAAAAACAGCCGTGGATCATAGCAGCTGACACCCTTATTTTATAAGTGATGAAGAGAAGCAGTTAACCAGGCAGAGAAAAAACACAAACTGAACCTCAAACTGTTTAATTGTAGATTCCTAAAGTAATTATATAAAAAAATAAACATGCAACTAATGTCTGCATCAAACTGTTGCTGGTTAAACCGGTGCTGCAAAATGAGAAATAAATCAGATGTATCTAGTTGACCAGTAACATTTATGACTGCCTGCAGCTCAGACTTGATTTAGAAATAATATGCATGTGATTTCTCCGTGAACAAACTAAAATCTCTTCATCGTTAAATGGTACAAAGATAGAGAACAGATTCTGCAGCCATTCAATTAAAGTAAAGCAGTACATGTATGAAAGGAGTTTATTGTATGTTTGTAGCAGCAAGTCATCAAAAACAAAAAGAAATCACATAAAAATGTCCCGTCTGCAAACAGCAGTTTCAGTTTTTCTACTATTTAGATTTACAAAAAAAAAAAAAATGCAGTATGTGTAAATTAAATGCCAAAGTAGATATTTTATATTTGTTTGCATTAAGAGACTGTGTTCAGTTTAACTAAATTGATCCTACTTTTTTAAATTGCCCTTGAGAAAACATTTTTGAACTTTGAATTGGTGATAACTCATTTGCACATATAAACAAATTAAAATAAACATATGAGATGTAATTTAAGGGCTTGTAAACTGCTGCAAAAACCTTCAAGGAGCCTCAAGTCAGGACTGATAAAAACACAATGAGGCTATTTTTCTTCTGCTTTGGTGCAGCCAAACAATTAGTCTATCCAATAATGCAGATTCCAGCTCACTAAGATGCACAACTGCTCTTATTTCCTAAACATAAAAACAACTATATTTGGTGTGAAGGGATTTAGTAATGGACCATTGATCGTTTATAGACTAAAATGTAATACATAATTAAAGTACCAATTACCTAAAACTGTTTGTGAAACAAAATGCCTCAAAATAGATGAAACGCCCAAGTATAAAGCAGGTTTTCTTTAATAAACTAGTAATTTTTGTAATGAAACCATTACATAGCTTGAAAACCACAACTTAAGTTTTATTTTTTACTTGACATCTAATTTTTACTACCAGTCTACAACCAGCCATGTCAAAAAATATCAACTAGAATCCCAAAACAACCGTTTAGATTGACTATTTAGTGACCAAGGTCAGTTTATGACTCACCATTCCTAAATATAATTAAAAAAACTGTTTACCCAAGTAAAACTGTTGTTTACTAGTCGCCGACAGACCCTCGTGGTTCGGGTTTACTGGACCAGAGGTCACGGGTTCTGCAGGTTGAGCTGCTGTGCGCCAGCAGGGCGGCGACGGACCGGTTTGTTTACGTTCAGGGGGCGAGAGAAGCTCCATTCACAAAAACAAGCAGGAGGCAGAAGATAAACGGGTCCAGTGTTTACAACACCCCCACAACATGTTTAACACGCGTTTAACGTCGTGCGCAAGACTCAGCAGCTAGATGTAAACAATAAACAAAAATAAAGCACCACAAAATATGACACTTGGGTAAACTGGATCAACTTTAGCGCAAAAGGACCCGTAAACGCGGAGCGGACCCCCTGTGGGTCTGCGGGAAATGACCGCGGGCGGCTAATGGCACCGTTACCAACAGGAATGTCAACAAAGAGCGGAGCTTTTCGCAAACAGGATGCGGAGTTCTTCTTGCTAACATGCTAGCACACGTGGTCCTCTCGACCCCTGCTAGGATATAAACCCAATGTTATTAACCGTTCCCATTAGCATTGTAGCTAGCGTCCACATGTTCCCCTAACGGTGAGGATGGGTGGGTGGGGGGGTGGGGGAGAGACTTACATTCGCGGTAGCTGCAGAGGAGGGGCGCCCCGTCTCAGGAACACTCCGTCCACAAACACCCCATTTTTACCGAGACACCTCAGATAGAAGTCTCCGCTGCCGGTGCCGTCGTCGCTGGTGGTGAATATCTCCAGGTGCCTCCGTGAGATGAAGCTGGAGTGGCCCATGCTCACGTCCACGGAGCCCTGGGAGGAGTTCCGACCGATGGTTACCGAGCGCTTTTTCATCATGTATTCGAATTCACGGCCCTCGAGCCGGGCAACCGGCCCAGACGATCCGCTAACCACAGACATGTTTGGATTTAAGCCTTAAGATGAGAAATACAACAAGGGCAAATAAAACACCGCTGTGTTCACGCACGCCCGGGAGTGGCCTTTCAGAGGCGTTTAAATGAGCAAATCTACCAGAGGGGCATCAAACTGAAAACAGGAATCCAGAGGGAAACATGCGAGGCCAGGGACAGCGGCTCCGACCCACCGCCGAGAGAAAGGGTAGCGGAGAGACCCAACCAAACGCAGCCAGGAGAGCACGAGGCATGACTGACAGCACCTTCCGCCAATGAGATTTCAGGACCATGATGAGGCTCCACGGCTTTGGCCATTGAAGCGCGAGTATTAATCAGAGGACAGATTCAAGGTCGGTTGAAGGGTAGCTGTACGTGCATATGCTCTTCGGACGGATGTAAGATGCGGTCTGAAAGCCGATCACTGACGGAGCGGATCGATCCGTTTACATCTGCAATCAATGTAAATCATTTGAGCGTTTTACAACAATCAATTGTCCACAATACGTTTTCCACACCATCGAATAATATAACAGATAAAGGACCACATTGTGCGATTAAAATCCCCCAGTTAAAAACGCAAAACGACGCTGCGTTTTGGTCCATCTGGGTATCCGTTCCTGGTTTTGTACCAGGCCCCCTTTGCAGCGACTCGATACTTTATACCAGGTTAGATATTTATGTTTTGAACAATAAGTTAAAACAAATCTCGTTGCCTTGGCTATCAGAGCTTTGATTTTCCTGCAGATGTTTAATCCTGGCTGTGCTGCCTGTAGCCTGGACATAATCAGGATGAATGCCATCTGCCGGCAGCTTGTTTGTAAATACTGTGTTTAGAGAAGTGTGATTGCACTGAGCATGTTCCAGTTTACGTGCTCTGACCTCAATCATCCAAAAGATAAAGGGAAAGAACATGCCTTTATACATTGCAATATACAATGTTATGCAAATTTGTTACAACGCACGTTTTCTAAATTGGATAATTTAATGTTTGATTGATTTTGTGTTTCTGTTACTGTGGATCAGCCCACCAAGGCCTTGGTCTGCCAACTGATTCCTTATGCACAGGGCTGCATGGTGAGTCCACAGGTGGACAAGCCCACGTGACCAGTTTAGGTTTAAAGCCAGACCACCAGGCTCTTGCACATGGACCTCAACCCCTGGCCTGGTTTCTGGGTGGTGCTGTGCCCCTGCAAACGAAGCAGTACAACATTTTTCACTGTTGTTCAAATTTGGTTTCTGTAACATTTGTAAAGAAGACCATTTCCTACATCCTGCAAACAGAGCAGACTGTTTCAGACCTTTAAACGGGACATTTAGGACTTCCCGTTTCTGGTTCCCATTTAGGAAAGAGCAATTCCAACCAAATTTTCCACTCTGAGCATTTTTGATTTGCTCCTAATGAAAAACTACAATAGCAATACTCTTCAAACCTGGACAAGTTTACTCTACAGCATATCCATCAAACATGGTTTTGAAGTTATCAGTTTCAAAAAAAACTGTGGACCCCTGGTCTCAAAAGATCTAGTCCAGGTTTGAAGTGGCATTGTATTGTATTGTAGTTTTGGACCTGGACAGTTCCATTGTGCTTGAGATTCAAAAATAACCTCCTATCTTTTTTGAAGTTTCACAAACCACCAACCGTGTTATGTTTTCTGTTTTAAGTCTAAAAAAGTGTAGTCCAGGTGTGAAGTGTCCAGGTATTACAGTTTTGGAGTCAGGCCAAGGTGGTCCAGATGCAAACTGATTGCAGTAATCTAGACTAGTAATAGTCTTTTATTGTCTTTCACAAATCAAATACTTTGTTTTGTGTATTCTGTACTTTAGAACAATCTAGTCCAGTTTAAAGGTCTACATGTATTGTAGTTCTGGAGCTGGACCGGTTCAGTTGTGGTCCAGATGCAAAAATCATGCATGATCTTTTTTTTTTTTCCCACGAATCCCATACAATGTGTTGCGGGCTCTGCTATTAGTAGAACAATGGTTCTCAAACTTTTTTCCTTGAGGACCCCCAACTCCTACATGCACATTAACTGTGATGATTTACAACTTTTATACATACCGTAAATCCTCTAATGCAGGCCCAGGCCTGTATTTGACTCAAGCTCATCAAGCTCCAGGCTTTTATTGGAAGGAGGGCCAGTATTAGAGGCAGGCCTCTATTTCTATTTGAGCAAAATGAACTAATGGTTCGCTGGAGTTTTTGACAATTAATATTGCACCCACATTTTAAAAGTTAAACACATTTCTTTTAACACGGTAGTTTCTGCTTCAGCCCCCCCCCCCCCTCCCCCTGCTTCAGCCCTCTCCCCCCTCCCCCTGCGCAGCGGCCGCAAACTCACTGATGCGCCTGCAGCCTCTCGGAGTTCCTGCTGCTCTAAACATTAAAATAATTATTTCATTTTCTGTTCCTCACTTCTGATTACCTTCAATGGTGTCTGTTTGTTGCAACCAGCAGGTACAAAAACTAACTTGTTTTTATTTTACTATTTTTCTGTCCTGCCTGTTTATTATCTTCCTGCATCTCCTCTCAGTCCTAAAGAGAAACTGCTACCTGGGTTCATATATATCCACCTCATGAGTTACCTTTGAACTGCAGTTCTAAAAGATCTACCGACCGCTAAAACAGCGGAGTGCTCGCTGTTTGGCGGCCGCATCAATGATCGGTGCGTCACCGGAGGACAAAACAGGTGATGCACCCTGCTCCACAGCAGCGAAACGCATCAGGCGCAAATAAAAGACAGAAAACATAAAAAGGAAATGAGGCGACATGAACGATCGCGTGTTAAATTAGTTTTTGAGGTGGCGACACCTGATTTGATAATGTTACTGTGGCCGTGCTCAGGACGCAGATGTCTGGAGCGCGGCAACAATCAGAGCTTTGCATGCGCAAGCTGGTTAAGGTTAGGATGGGGGTGAGGGGAAGGTTAAATTGCAAGAGGGTAAAGGTCACAATTTGGTTAAATATCCATTTTACGGTGGGTGTCAGTACCGACGCTCTGGCACTGCGCATTGCCTCCCGACGCGCAGGAGCTTGTCACCTGCTGACAGCAGGCTGCTGTCTTTTCCGAGGACTGCATCTTGCCGGTCATTATCACGTGACAGCGACTAGTTGATGACAAGCATAAAAAGTCACTATAGTGAAGTCGACTAGTTCATACAACCCCTGCTACTGCTCCCCAGAGTGTTCTGCAGCATAATCAGCACGTTCTCTTTGAACTTGATATCAAATTTTCGCCTCCTCTTCATCTCCGCACGGTTAAAGTTACCCTCGCGGTCTATCACTGGCAAATCAAAAGTGAGACGGATGACACAACCGCCCCCCGTACTTGCTTGTTACCACATTCCACCCGGCCACAATAAAAAAACGGCCATTATTCACCTCCGCCGACTCCGACACCGGCCAAAATATGATACCTGGCCGTTAATTAAATACAGGCTAATATTAGAGGATTTACGGTACATAACTTTTGTATGGTGATTGGGATTTTATAAATTTAATCTTTATGAATAAAATCTTGCTAACCTCACAACTTCAGCACAGAAGAAACCGTGGGGACCCCAGGGGGTCCCGGACACCGGTTTGGGAACCACTAGTCGAGAGTTGTCCAGGTTTGAAGAGTATAGTTTTATAATAGGAGCAGATTAAATGCTCAGGTTGGAATGACCCTTTCCTAAACGGTAACCAGAAATCCAACATCAGTTCCATGATGTAAGGGTTAGCGGTGTGGAGCTGACACTAGTGGGGATGTACCATAAGAAGCAGTTTTGGGAAATTCATTTTTGCAAAAAAAAAAAATAGTTTCCATCGTTAGATAAACATTTGCGGAAGAGCACATTTCTTCTCCTTGATCAATTTTAGTCTTGAAATAAATTCTGTAAATGAAAAGTTTGTTGTATTCATTTTAAATCCTCATTTTATTTGAGTTAATGATGTTACAGAAGTATTTTGTGTTTATTATAGGCTACTTATCCTTCATTTAGTCTTTTTTCCAAAATGAAAATAATGAGATTCACTGAGAGAGACAGACAAAGTGTCACTGGCTGCTGTTGTAGTTCCCTCATCACACACCATGCTGAGATGAAGAACCGTTTGAGCTGACAGCTGAATCATTTTGTTGATTAAATGTATTTAATTACAGGCTGGTATGAAACAACAGTTCAACCATTTTCATTTGTGTTTCTCTTTGCTGCTTGTGATACTGTCGCGTGCCCGTCCCATTTACCGGTTCCTTTAAAACCCAGTTCCGTTAGAACTTATGAGACGGTGCATCTATCAGGGTTCGAGTGGGGGTGTCGGCGAGTTTAATCGTACTAGACCCGGGTTTGGACTATCTAATTAGAATCTTGTCTTTTATTTTAAAGGTGAAATGACTTGTACGAATAGCCAGCCTCAGAGTACTCCACTTCTTTTAAACTCGTTACCTTTTGGTTAAGATACTAGAGAGAAGTCTGGAGGCAAGCCAAGCCTCTCAGCAATTGTTTGGATTACCCAGAATTAATTGCGCCTCTAACAGCTTATGTGGGAGGTTGGTAACTATAAAATGATTTATGCTAGTTGATCAGGCTATCATAAGTTTATCAATTTATTTATTAATCCAACCTTCCAGCTGTTAGAGACTTTTTCAACCTGCAATCAGAGCCAAAATAACCTCTAATATCCTGTTATTATCGCCCTTAAGACAACTCGTTACTCGCAAGGAGGGGGAAGTTAAAACTTCCCTTATCTTAAGGTTTCTTTATATTATTCTGTTACAAACTGCAAAGTAAGTCCTGATAATTCAGAGACCTGTGATCGACAAGCTTACCTCTGTGCAATTTATGGCCAGGGCCCCAAACGTGAAGCTTTAGAGAAAACCTGAAAGAATCAGGATTATGTTTCTTTTTCAAAAAAGGTTTATTACAAAATCAAAATACAAAAATGGGTAAATAAAAAACAACTGCTATCCCCCACGGAGGAATTAGTTCAAAATGATTAAATAAGAGTTAGTTTACACTAGCTCCTGTCTTCTCAGAATCTCCCCAAAACAGCTCCCAAGTCTCCCAGCCCGATCTGAGCTGCATCCTTTTATATCATTCCTGAGACTGCTCTAAACAATGAAAGAGTCACAAGTCATTCTCTCCTGACAGTTTAGGTCAAGGGGTCATTTACCAAATACACTTTTTTAGCTCTACATAAGACATTTGGTATCATTTTCACTACATGCAGTATTCACATGAGGGCACAAAAGTTCATGTTGCACT